CAGGCCATACCCTGGACCAGTAGGAATTTCTGGGGTGGGGCCCAGCACCAGTATTTTTTAAAAATCTGTGGGACACATATAGCCAGGGTTGAGAACCAACCTGTGTCTTCTTCCTAGAGTTTATATGGCATTTGCTAATCTTAAGGCTTACTCGTTCTCAGAGTGTGATACTCTGAGGCTCCACAAGGAGGCAGAGCTGGCCTTGACTCCCAGCCACCCCTCTTTCTACCTGTGCCCCCAGGACCTGGGCAGCACCTGCTGGCGTCGGCAGCGCCCGCTGCTGTGTGGACAGCTCCGTGTCTTAGCATGTGCCTCCCCCACACAAACCACATGGGTGCACAGTGCCCCTCTGAGTCGGATGTCAGCAGTGACAAGAGTGGGCTAACAAAGCCCTCGGCGGAAACCCAGGCACCTCCCAGCCTCCCAGCCTCCCGTCGGGAAAAATAATGACAGCTTTACAAAGCTGTTTCACAAAACGTTACGTTAAATGAACATCAAATGACTTTTCCTTTTCCCAGCTTTAAATGCTGACAGTGCCACTTATTCCTGACCTTCAGGAATAGGAGATGTTTGCGATGACAACATAAAAAAAATAGAGTTCTTGTTTGAAAACGCAAGCTACTTTGGACCACATCTTATTACTCCTAAGTATTGCTCACTTCAGCCGCCCGTTTACACGGAGCTGGTGTGTGTTTCCGCTGACATTTATTATTCTCCTGCATACGTGTCAAATTCCTTAATGAGGACTCTGACAAAGACATAGAGCTCGGGATATAGAAATTACATCTAGCTACCGTGCAATCAGTGTTCTCTATTAAAACGCTATTTGTGACAAGTCACGTTCCAAATAAAAATCGAATTGATTTCTCTCTGATTTGAAAGACGGTGCCCTCCCAGCAAGCCTCTGATTGAATCTTCAACACGTTAATGCTCTGTTTTTGTCCGAGGCAGATCGGGAAGGGAGTCTGCACTTTTCTCAAAGCAAAAACGATCTGCAAAACAACCAAATCAAATTTCCCAAAGCATTTTTATTGGCAAGCCCGGGGAATGAATTTGGTCAAGCTCTCTTTACGGGGTGCGGAGAGCAAGCCTACATTTCCACATTTCATTTCCATGCTTCCGTTTCCGCCTAAATTAGGCTCTAACAGATGCAGGGTCTGCGAGGCCTCGGCCAGGCCTCCGTTTCTCCTTCTCTCTCCGGGGAGTGCAGGCTTTTCCCCAGCCGATCCATGCGCCCCCTCACCTGGGTCCCTCTCCCTGGGCGGTGGCTTTGGGCTAACTGCTCTGTGACCTGGGCCTGGGGGGGTTCTGTCTCCCACGTCCCCCAAATGCGTCCCTCGCAAGGAGGCACCTGCTTGACCCATTTTGCTTACAAAATGAGTCACTCACGACCATCCCCTTGGGTTAACACGTGGTTTGGAGCAGGGGGTGGTGAATCAGGGCACAGCCCTCCAGCGGATAATAGTGTTCACATTTTTTACTGTGTTTTGTTTTGTTTTTTTTAATTCAAAAAATATATTTTGTGATACATGAAAATGATATGAAATTAAACTTTCAGCGTCTATCAATAAAGCTTTATTGGAACACAGACACACTAATTTCTTTTTCTTTTTTAATACATTTTGTTGATTTTTTTACAGAGAGGAAGGGAGATGGATAGAGAGTTAGATACATCGATCAGCTGCCTCCTGCACACCTCCTACTAGGGATGTGTCCGCAACCAACATACATGCCCTTGACCAGAATCGAACCTGGGACCTTTCGACACACTATCCACTGAGCCACACCAGTTTCAGCAGACACACTCACTTATTTCCATATTGTCTAGAACGGCTTTCCTGCTAACACGGCAGAATTGCCACAGAGACCCGCTGGCCCACAAAGTCTAAAATATGTAGCGTCTGGCTCATTTGCAGAAAAACATTTCAGTCCCTGATTCAGAAGGCAGGGACGCAGTCGCTGGTGCCAGCCAGGCAGAGACAGTGATTTTAGATAAACTGGAGCTGGGGCCAGGGACTGTGGAGGGCACGGGGTGACACGGCCTGATGGAGAGGCCTGGGGAGAGTGCCCTTGGTGTGACCTTCATGAGAGCACACACCGGAAATGAGGCCGTAGGCTGTGGGAACTGGGTGCTCAGCTCCTCTAGGCCATGGAGTGCCTGGTGCCCTTTCCTGATGGCATTCCAGGTTGGTCTGGAAAGATGGGGTACACACTCCCTCTCAGACTTTGGAGCATGCAGACAAATCCTGTTGGAGTCTACTTATGGACAGGGGTTTTATTGGGAACACGTCAGCCTTTGGGGGTAGGGGGATGCTGTATTTTTCTGGGAAGGGGCTGACTTGGGAAGACTGATGGAGGTTGTCCAGGAGAGGATGGGTGAGTCTCTGTCTGCCTGGGCCATCTCACAGTGAGAGCTCACCTTGGAGTGGCCCCGCTACGCCGGCACCAGGGGACACCTGGGATCTTCAGAGAGGGGAGAGGGAAATACTTTCGGGGCCCAGAGGCCTTCTGGGAAAGAAGCCGGGCCCCCAACTTTTAAAACTCTGGGAAAGGAATGGGGTCTGGTGAGCAAGGCCTTGGAATAGGGTAGAGAGGGTGTCCGGTCTTGAGCCTTAATGGAACTTTCCATTTTGCCTTTTTATTGCTCCTTCCTGGCACTGTTCGCTGTGCTCCAGAAGAAAAGGTGACCTGTGAGTTGTATGTGAGCAAAATGCTAGGCCAAGCCCTTTGTGTGCGATACCCCATTGAGTCCCCCCAAACCCGTGAGGAAGGTATTCTCATTTTATAGCCAAACAGTAAGGGGTAAGAGTGCCTACCTTTCACATCAAGGTCAGTCAGCAGCTATGTGGCAACACCGACAGGATGAACCCCAAGGCCCAGCCTTCAGTATCCTCGCTCCACTCCACTGGCTCTGGCATATCCATTTTATATATATATATATATATATATATATATATATATATATATATATATATATATATATATCGTTTCTTCTTTGTCCTCTTTTCTTTTTTAAAAATATTTTTTTTTATTTTTATTGATTTCAGAGAGAGAGACGGAGAGAGAAATAGAAACATCAATGACGAGAGAGAACCATTGATCAGCTGCCTTCTGCACACCCCACACTGGGGATTAAGCGTGCAACCCTGGCATGTGCCCTGACTGGGAATCAAACGGTGACCTCCTGGTTCATAGGTTGATGCTTAACCACTGAGCCACACTGACCGGACTGTCTTCTCTTTTCTTTCTTGAACTGACTGGATGGAGAAACCATGGTGCTAGAGAAAAGTCAGCCTTGTAGAGCCAGCCAGTCACCCCTCCCGGAGGGGGCGTGAGGACCAGACCCCCGTGCCTCCCCTCCCACATCCGGCCTCCAGGGCAACTGTCAGTTTTCACGCGAGAAGAAAGAGGCGACCCCGAAGAACCATTTTAATTGCCACGGAAGTCAGACCATCCTGACAGGAGGCCCTGGTATCAAAGGAAACCATGCACCCTCCGGTTCCTCAGCCCGCCCCGCGCAGGGAGCTTTGTCTGCTCGGATAATGGCATTGTTTCCAGTGGCAAGAATGAGCTCGTTAAAGATACAGCCTGTGCTAATCATGATAATTTGCCGGACACTCCAATCATCTCTCTACCTGCCCGGCAGACAATGCCCTGGCAATTGTAGGCTAGGGGGGAACAAAAAGGATCAAGATTAGGGGGAAAATTGCCATGCAGAACGGCTTCAACAAAAGAAGTTACAGGTTCGCACGTTGAACCTGGTGATCTTAATCTTGCCATTGTAGAAGAATTAGATACTATTAATTTTTTAAATCACCTTTATTCAACTTTGGGAACTGCCATGGGGTGGCTGTTCTCTTGCTTGTGTTTTACAAGAGCCACTTTTAATTTTTTATTATTTTTAAAATATGTTATTGATTTGTTTAGAAAGAGAGGGAGAGGGAGCGGGAGAGAGCGAGAAACACCAATTGGCTGCTTCCTACAGACCCCTACTTGGGGTTGAACCTGCAACCTGTGCCCTGACCAGGAATTGAACCGGAGACCTCTTGGTTCGGGAGATGGCACTCAAGCAAATGAGCCACACCTGCCGGGCCGGGAGCCATTCTGTAAAGATTGGTCTCAGGTGAATTGGTTGGAGCTTAAATGTTGATGCGTGATGTGATCCCGTGGATGAGGTTAGCATGAGGGCAGTTTCAAGGAATCGCTTTGGGCTCAGGTCCCCTTCATTTCATGGGGAACGGTCTCAGTCAGCTTGAGCCCAGAGCAGTCATCCCCAAACTCTGTGGTTTGGGAGGGGGCCCAGCCAGCTGCACTCCTGTGGCTCATGTCTGAGAGGCTGGACGGCAGGCTCACTGCCCACCCAGGCAAAAGAGGGGTCTATCTCCTGAGTTCTCTTCTGGGAATGGTGTGGTCCCACTATGGGGGTTCTGGAAAACTGGGAACATCCCAGCTACTTGCAGATCTTTGCCCTGCCCTTTGAAGAGAGAGGCAGCCTCTGTGTTTCCCCCCCAGATTTCCACAGGCAACAGCTACCGTTAACATAATCAGGAAGAAATGTTGTTTTTAAGAATTCTTATTTGAGCCCAGTGTGTGGCCCTCCACGGCCAGCGGGCTCTCCTGGGCACTGGGATGCTGAACCCCCGGGGCGGGGCTGGGGGTGGCCTCTGTGACAGCGTGGGGACTCCCAGGTCAGGAGGCTGGTGGGGACCGCCAGGTTCGAGGCCAGGCAGGGCTTCCCTGGCCGCCTGGCCTGGGTGCGCCGCGTTGCCTTCGGGTTAGGAAGACTCGGGCCCCGCCTGGCTCTCCTCCAGGCCGGAATCAGGGAAAGCCGGCCGGAAGCCGCTGGGATGCTGAGAAGTACACTCTTTATTCCCACAGGACCACGAAGGGTCTGCCAGCCCGCCAGGGTGCAAGGGATTCTCATGCACAAAGCTCCCTAGTCCTGCTGGGGATGGGGAGGGCGGCTCCTCCCTGAAGACTGGCGAGCTCCTGAGCGCCCCCTAGAGTCCACTCTCCTGGGGCGGCTCTCCTAGGGGGCCATTGTCTGAGGACAGTGGTTCCAGATAGAGCTTCCTGTTTGGACTCTGAGCAAAGTCACACCTCCCCGGAGGCCTGGGGTGCTCTATCGGGGGTATCGCAAGGCCAGGACAGGTGCTGTCTGCAAGACAAACCGTGCTGTGAGCTGCAGGCGGTGCCCGGCGGTGCAGAGGCCAGTGCCAACATGCCCCTTATTTCCACCACCACCACCGCCCCCCTCCTCCCCCCCTTTTTTAAAAACAGCAGGAAGGGCCCAGAGCCGGTTTGGCTCGGTGGATAGAGCATGGACCCATGGACTGAAGGGTCCAGAATTCGATTATAGTCAAGTGAAAGGGCCACGGTTTGATTCCGGTCAAGGCCATACCTCGATGGCAGACTCAATCCCCAGCCCTGGTCGGGGTGCGTGCGGGAGGCAGCCATTCAATGTGTCTCTCACATCAATGATCCGTGTCTCTCTCTCTGTCTCTCCCCCTACCTTCCACTCTCTCTAAAAATCAATGGAAAATATCCTCAGGTGAGGATAAAAAAATAAAAATAAAAAAAAGCCAGCAGGAAGGGGGGAGGGCCCCGACTTACCTGGCAGAGAGAAGTCCGGGTACCTGGGCAGCCGGTCACGCTGCAAAACTCTTGGAGGCGGCGGCGGCGGCGGCTGCGGGGACCTCACTCCGTAGATTCTGAAACGAGGACCAAAGTCATGGAGTCACCCTTCGGTTAGTAACAGAGAGAATAAAGGGAATCTATGCAGTCCCTGTGTGAGCACGAAATGTTTATTGCTGATCCTTACCCTTTATCCTAACGGTAAGGATTCTCATCTCCATTTTACAGAAGGGGAAACTGAGGCCACACGAGCCACCCTGCACCGTGCCCTGCCCCTGCCCTCCCTCGGCACCCTGGGGCCGTGGTTGGCCAACTCATTAGTCCACAGAGCCAAATACCAACAGAACGATGACTGAAATTTCCTTTGAGAGCCACATTATTTTTAAACTTAAACTCTATAGGTAGGTCCATTGTTATTAACTTCATTAGGGTCCTCCTAAGCTGGCCTTTGCTAAAAACTCAAGGGGCCAAAGAGCCGCATGTGGCTCAAGAGCCACAGTTTGCCGACCACTGCCCTGGGGCCTTAGGTTGCTGCTAGGAGAGTGAGCCCGTTGTTTTTCCCCCTCCCCACCTCTCCCTGTAAACCAGGGAAGACCACGGGGAGGATTTGGGGAGGATGCTGGGCCCACAGGGGGCCGGAGGGTGGCTGGCTGCTAGGAAGGCCTGGCGGTTACAGAGGAGGCCGGTGTCAAACAGACCAGACACAAACCGTTCCGGCGTTGACCACCAGGCGGCGGCTGGGAAGCCCTGGCCGGGATCTGCCCTCCCCCTGGTCGCCTGGGCTCCTCCCCGGCCAGACTCACTCCGCGTAGGGCTTCAGGTGCGCCCTCCTGGACCGCTCCGTGAGGTCCAGGAAGTCCTGGTAGCAGTTTCTGGCCGTGACCGAGTACCGGGTGGCGCAGCCCAGCTCCGTGACGCTGGCTCTGGGCAGGTAGCCCGCCCAGCCCGGGATTGGGGGCTCCTCCAGCGGCTTCCTCAACTGTTGGCATTCTGTACAGAGACCCACGCTTCCTGAGGGCTCGGAGAAGCCACCCTGGGCGGGGCCCCCGTTAGCTGGCATCCCAACCATTAGCCCCGGCGAACCCCTGGGCCTGTAGATGCCCTCACGGCAACTGCCACTGGCTGGTGGGCTCCCCGTGCCAGGCACCTTGGTTGGAGTTATATACACAGCCCCCCACGCTATGAAACATCAATCAGCTGCCTCCTGCACACCCCCTACTGGGGATGTGCCCGCAACCAAGGTACGTGCCCTTGACCGGAATCGAACCCGGGACCTTTCAGTCTGCAGGCCGACGCTCTATCCACTGAGACAAACCGGTTTCGGCTATTTGGGATTGGCATGGACAGCGGGCTGGAGCCCGACGAGTTGGCGGGTAAAGCCGGTTGTGGCAGCTCAGAGACCCACTGATCCCCACAGGCCAGGCCGAGGGACCCCACTGTGCACGAATCCTCTGCCTCTAGTGGTGATGATAATAAAGAAAAACAGTCCATTGGGTCCCCTAATAAGCCTTTCCCCCTTAAAAAAAAACAGTCCCGGGCAAATCACTGTTGTGATTATTCACAGGACATCATCATATTCTCCGCGGGTTCTGTGGTTATCAGTGCCAAGCCCTGTCCCACCCAGCGAGTACCTGGAGGAGCTGGGTTCGAACCCGGGTCTGACCTCAGACAAGGGGCATCCCGTGGAAGCCTCACTTTCCCCATCTCTGAAACGGGAAGGACAGCATCGCCCGCGCAGGGCTGCTGCGGACGGTGGGAAACCATGGTGCCTGGCACGGAACCCGCCCAGAAGGCAGCGGCCGGAACGTGGTGGGGTCTCCCTCGGGGGCTCCTCGTTCCCAGCACCCAGTCCCCCGACCTGCACCCCTCCCCTCTCCCCCGGAAATGGGTGCTTCTCGTTTTAAGAAACTGGGCCTTTCTGCACTCGCTGCGCCTGGGGCTTTGGATTGTGAGGCCCCTGTGGCAGCTCCATGGGCCTGCTGGGCCTTGACCTTGGGCCCCAGGGTGACGGGGGCTGCCCTCGGGGAGCCAGTACCCAGGAGCAAGGGGTGGTACTGCTGGTAGTACTGGTGCAGCGCCCGCAGGACCGTCTCCTCCTGGCAGATGGGCTGCAGCTTGGGGGCGGTGGCCACCGCGTGGCAGAACTCCTTCTGCTGGTCCCTGTAGCGCTGCGTCTTCTCCCGGAAAGCCTGCAGGCAGCGGGACATGTGGTCCTCGCTGGAGGTGCCCTCGCAGCTCAGGTACGGCACGAAGCCTGCATGGGGAAGGGGAGGGGAGGGGAACCAGCCTTCACAGGGCCCGGACTCCCAGCCCAGAGCGTGGGGTGCCTTCCTAGGCCCGCGGCGCGGCCTGTTCCTAAAGGCCCTTGGGACAGGCAGGGCTGCTGTTCCCCGGCGGCTGGGCCCTCCCTCAGCCACGAAAACAGTGACCTTGGAGCTGGGGGTTGGGGAGGGGGGGTGAGGCCCGTGTCCACAAAGGCGATGGCAGGCCTATTCTCTGCTAGCAAAGCCCCTGGTGTGAGGCCGCCCGAGAAATGGGGAAAGCGTGTAATGGGCCCGAAATGACGGTCTGGGGAGCGACGGAAATGACTCGTGTGTTTAGAGAGAAAGCTCATTTTCCTAGACGCTTCCCGAATGCAACCGGGGATCTTTCTTGTCCGACCGCAGGGAAATGGCGGGCTTATTAAAAGTACAAGCCTGCCGAAACCGGTTTGGCTCAGTGGATAGAGCGTCGGCCTGCAGACTGAAAGGTCCCGGGTTCGATTCCGGTCAAGGGCACGTACCTTGGTTGCGGGCACATCCCCAATAGGGGGTGTGCAGGAGGCAGCTGACTGATGTTTCTAACTCTCTATCCCTCTCTTCCTCTCTGTAAAAAAATCAATAAAATATATTTTTAAAAATAACAAAAAAAAAAAAAAACAGGAATAGAAGCTGCCTTTTTGAGTCTTGCTAAGGGCCAAGGCATTTTCAATAGGTGACACAGGCTGGCTCCTCTAATCCCCACAACAACCTTATACAAAATCCATCACTACCCCTCGAGGTTGGCCGAACTGTATTTCCCCAATGCAAGTTCTAACCCCCTGCCCCTGTGAAGGTGACCTTATCTGGAGATAGGGTCTTTGCTGATGTCCTTAAGGATCAGACATAAGATCATCCCAGATTTAGGGTGGACCCTAGATTAAGGTGACCAGACAGACGTCCTGCTTTTGGTGGGGCAGTCTCAATTGTTAACAATTTGTCCCGATTGTTAACAATGGGGACTGCTCCACCAGAAGCAGGACGTCTGTCTGGTCACCTTACCCTAGATCCAACACCTGGTGTCCTTATAAAAAGGAAGGACAGAGCTCGGAGACACACAGACACAGGCGAGGGCGGAGGCCGCATGGAGAGTCGTGTAAAGATTGAGGTGGAGGCGGCGGGGATGCCGTCACCAGCCAAGGAACTCAGGGGCCCCCAGAAGCTGGAAGAGGCAGGAAGGGTCCTCCCCTGAGGCCTGCGAGGGAACACGGCCCTGCCCACTCTTTGGATTCAGACTTCTGGCCTCCAGAACGGTGCTGTTTCAAAGGCAGCCCTCGGAAACGAATGTACCCATCTTACGAATGTACTCGCGTACCATGGAGAGGTAAGTCACTCGCAGCACACAGACAATGGCCAGGCAGCACCTGGAACCTCCGTCTGTTAGAACCCAAAGCCTGTGGTCACTGCCTTTATGGAAACGGGCCTTCCCTGTTGGTCCAGGTGAGGCTGGGCAACCATGGAAAAGGCCCCGAAAATCCCCTTCTGAGGACACGTGAGAGGGAGCTGAGGGCCACAGGGGGTCGCTGGATTTGTGACAGCCTACCGAGAACCGGTTCCAGCATGTAATAATTACAAGAGTTCCATCAAAAGGTTCATGGGGCCGAAACCAGTTTGGCTCAGTGGATAGAGCATCCGTCTGCGGACTGAAAGGTCCCAGGTTCAATTCCGGTCAAGGGCATGTACCTTGGTTGTGGGCACATACCTAGTGGTGGGTGTGCAGGAGGCAGCTGATGGATGATTCTCTCTCATCAATGTTTCTAACTCTCTATCTCTCTCTCTTCCTCTCTGTAAAATATCAACAAAATATATTAAAAAAAAATAAATCATGGGACTTGGGGAGCTCAGCAGGGTGCAGTCACATGTAGTTCACCTGTTGGAAACGGCTAAAAGGCACTTCCCCCAAACCTGAATAGGATGGTTGTTAACGGCCAGACAGCTCGGGGCATTTTATTGCCTTCTGCTGGCCAAACACCTGAACAGCTGTAGGCTATTCCCCAAACTGACAATCTCTGTAAACCCTTTGATACCATACCCTTTGAAGCGTATATTTCCACCTTGCCCTGGGACAAACTGTGTTTAATAAAAGCACGGGTCTTTGGTCAAGGGCAGAGCTTTCTAGCTCTGCCAGCTGAAGTCCTCTGACCCCCAATACCTCTCAAAACTTATCTTTCGCCCACGGACTCCTTCTTAATCATCTACGCGCAGCCCTTTCTCCAGAATGCTGAGCCCTTTGTAAGGCTTGAAAAAGAACCCCGGCAACAGCCATGGGACCTGGTACGTGCTCGGTGGCCAGGAACTGGCCAGCCCGTTAGCTGGGGTGACCAGTTGTCCAGGAGCCAAGGCTTTTCCTGGAACACAGGACTGACTGTCCGTGCTAAAAGCCGGGCCGTTCTGGGCAGCCGGTCACCATCCCTCTTAAGGACAGGAGGAGAAATGGGACCGGAGGCACGGTCTATTGGAAAACTCCAGAGAGCCCAGCTGGGGAAGGAGGCCGGGGCCTCAGCACTGTGTCCAGTCTGGCCCAGACCCATTTGGTGGACATTAACTCCCACCGGTCTCATCCTGGAAGATTTGGCCTACGCTGAATCTCTCACTCACTAATCAGAGCCCAGTCATCAGCCACCCTCAGCGACGGGGCGCTCTTAACACGTGTCTTAGAAGCCAAAGCCCTCGTCCGGGCCCCGTCGGCCAGACAGACGTGGGCAACGGTCCAGAGCAAGGTCCATTGCCAGGACTCCGGCGCTCGTGCCAGGCGCATCTCTGCCCCACGTACCACACCACTTACCACCGTAGCCTGGGGTGACGGGCAGCTGCCTCATGAAGACCTGGGGCGAGGCCACGTCGCGCTCTGACAATAAAGGGAAGACGGGATGGGACTCGCACCCAACGTCCCTGCGTTAAGAACTCACATCAAGCCGAAACCGGTTTGGCTCAGTGGATAGAGCGTTCGCCTGTGGACTGAAAGGTCCCAGGTTCGATTCCGGTCAAGGGCATGTACGTTGGTTGCGGGCACATCTCCAGTAAGGGGTATGTGCAAGAGGCAGCTTGATTCTCTCTCATCGATGTTTCTAACTCTCTATCCCTCTCTCTTCCTCTCTGTAAAAAAATCAATAAAATATATTTTTTTTAAAAAAAGAACTCACGTCAAGGGGACCAGAGCCTTGGGAGTAGCGTAAGCTTGCCAGGGACCCAGAAGGAGAGCAGCTCTGCCAACTGCACCAGGACTCAGGCATGAATTAGGTACCAGGTGTACGGACCTCCCCCCACCCTTGTCCCTGCCCTGCCCTCCCCCACCTTCCATCTACCCTCACGAGGGCCACCAACTGTGACGGAGGTAAGGAGTGGGAAGATGGGGGACCAGGGAGCCCCCACGTAAGACTGGAGAACCGTGGGGGAAGGGGGTGATGAGGTGCATCCCGGGGGAATCAGGTCTCCATGGTGATTTTTTTGGCCCACCCCCCACTCCCTCAGGACACCTGGCAGGGTCTGAAGACATTTGGGGATGTCACAACGGGGGGGATGGGGTGCTCCTGGTATCTAGGGTCCTGGGTTTGATTCCGTATCGAGGATGCTGCTCAACATCCTTCACATCTCAGGGTGTGCCCACAGCAAAGCGGCAGAGTGCACTCTGGCTAAAGGGGCCGGAAGTCCCCAGCGGCTGGCGTGGAGTCCAGGGCGGCCGAGAGACGGAGGTGGGGACCCTGAGCATCAGTCCCTGTGGATGCGGCCCCACAGCCAGGCCCCTGGCCTCTGCAGGGCTGGCCTGCCTGCGGGCCACTCTGGGATGGGCAGGCCCACCCGCCAAGCCTCGCCATCTCTTAAAGGGGATGCCCGCCCGCCCTCCCTGGCCGGTTTGGCTCAGTGGCTGGAGCGAGGACTGAAGGATCCTGGGTTCCGTCCCGCTGGGGGATGGGGCACCTACCGTCGTCGTAGTAGGGGGGATGTTGGGCTCCATTTGGGGAGCACGTTGAAGACAAAGGATCCATGTCTCTCCCTCACATTGATGTTCCTCCCTCTCTGTCTCTCCCCTCCCTTCCACTCCGTCTAAAAGTCAACGGGGGAAAACCATGTTTTAAAAAAAAAAAGGAAGCGATGCTCTCCCCATGGGACACAGGCCTCGGGGTGTCAGGTTCGGCGGGCAAGGATGGGAATTGGACAGCTCCGGCATGCAGAGGCTAGAGGACACGGGAGGCTGCATTCCTGTACAATCCTCACCGCCACTGCTCTCAGGGTCGGCTCCTGTGCCGGGGGGCCCCCATCTTACAGAGGGTGGGTGGGAGGCACAGAGGCTGAGAAACCCGTTTGAGGGCTGTGGCATCCAGGGAGGATGAGGGACTACCTCAAACTCGAGGCACAGGATTTTGTTGGCCAAAAGCAAGCCACTGGAGCGGGAGCAGCTGGGAGGCCTGCCTGGAGGAGGAGGCAGGGAGGAGGAGCTTAGAGGGGAGATGTGCGAAGGGCTGGGGGGCTGAAAGCTGGGATACCGGAGCCCACCTCCCCTTTCGGAGCCCCTGCAGAGGGGCTCACCTGGGCAGGCCTGGGAGCGGCCCAGCGGAGCCTCCAGCACAGGGTGGCTCCAGGCCTTTGTGAGCTCACCGCCGGGGAGGGGGGAGAGAGGGAAGGGGGGAGGGAAAATGATGGGGGGAGGGGGGAGGGGGAGTAATGGGTCCGGCTTCTCAGCCTGCTCCGGCCCCCGCCTCCTCCTCCCTCAGCCCCACCTGGATGCCAGGGAGGCGGGTGAGCCCAGTGAAGGTGGGGACAGGAGCCCCACAAAAGCCTGGTCCCCGAAGCTGACCTCCTTCTCGGTCTCCCCAGCACCCGTTCTGGGTTTGGAACTGGGGGACCGGGCACGCGAAGGGATCTGGGCCAAACCGCCTCCTGGTGATGCGGCCCTGGCGGCCTGCGGGGCTGGAGGTGCTGTAGGTGCTGGTGCGGGAAGGGGGTCTCCCTCCGCGCCCTGTGGGGGCTGCCGGGCAGGGAGCAGCCTGGGCTGGGCGAGGAGAGAGGCCCATCCTGGCGGCTTGTAAGTACAGGTGTGTCCCCTGGGCCCCTCCCCTCCTTTGTCTGGCAGGAAAGGTGGTTTCCAGGTAGCCTGGACAGATAGCAGGGAGTAGGGCGATGCAGCAAAATGGGGGCCCGCAGTCCCTCCTGGCCTGGTTTTATGGGCACTGGGGAGGGGGGGCCTTCATGGCGTTGGATTGGCACGAGGGCCCACTGGTGACTCGGAGGGGATGCGTGGCCTTCAGCCTGCTGGCCCCTGGGATACGCCGGCTCCCATGGGCAGCCAGTTCGTGTGCCTGCTGGGACGCCAGAGGCCCAGGGCCTGACCTTGAGCCATTTGCCAACAGCCTTTTGGTTTGGCGGCCACGGAGTAGCCTGAGGCCTCGCTGGCTTATCTGCCTTCTCTCCGGCTGGGAGGGAAAGGGGCTAGAGACATCCACGGAACCTTCCTTCCCAGTGGACAGAGGGGCCCCTCGTGTGGGAAGGGAAGTTAAAAAAAGCTCCGACACCTAAGGAAGAACCTGAGACCTCTACCTCCACCTGCGATGGGTAACGATGCGTCTAGAAACCGGTTTAGCTCAGTGATAGAGCGTCGGCCTGCGGACTGAACTGGGTTCGATTCCGGTCAAGGGCATGTAGCTTGGTTGCAGGCATATCCCCAGTAAGAGGTGTGCAGGAGGCAGCTGATCGATGTTTCTCTCTCATCGATGTTTCTAACTCTCTACCCCTCTCTCTTCCTCTCTGTGAAAAACCAATAAGATATATTTTTTCAAAAATAAAATAAAATAAAATAAAACTCCATTTACACATTCAGGGTGGGGGGAAAAAGTCTGGGCCACGCCACGTCCGAGTTTCGCTTTATTAGACATCCGTGAAGACAGTTTGCAGATACAGCCTTGTCGGTTCGCCACTACGTTCTGTGAAGCTTCTTGAACAAGACCCACGTGAGAATCCAGCTCCTTATTCCGAGCAGACGAGAGGTCTGACATTATGGCCAACCACCTTTTCTACTAGCCATCCAGCTAAGCCATTTCCCGGCATACATACATACATACATACATGGGCAGCGTCATCACAGCTCTTTGGTCTCTACAATGTGAGGTGCGATCGTCGGCTAATATTGCATTTTGGGCTCCTGGGTATATTAGTGCATGCGATTCTTGGCCACCCTGGCGGTTAAAACCAGACCTGGACGCTAAAAGCTAAACTTGACCTAAGTTCTCATTCTAGGGGAGGGCAGGCTCTGTGAACGGGACGCGTCTCAGCTGCCGCTACGCACTCTCGCTGGCACGGCTTCCCCTCTTTCCTCTCCGTAACTCGTCTGCCGTGGAGCACTGACTGACGCCTGCTGTGTACGGAAAGGGCAGGCACAAAGGAAATCTCTTGACGCTTCTGCTTCCAGGAAAGGTGAACATCGGGTAACAAGCCGGGGACGATCGAATGATGCGTCAGAACAGGCCTTGCAGAGACTTCCTAAAGTTAGAAAATGTGTCCTGGTGTACTTGCCATAGAGTATTCCCGTGGGGGAAAGGGGAGCAGGGATAAATTTGGGGGGTGCCCCTAAGGTAAGGTGACCAGACGTCCCAATTTTTAACAATGTCTCCCATGTCCCGTGGTGTTGCAAAAATCGGGACTGTTTTAAAACGCCTCAGGACAAATTGATCAAAGTCGGGACTGTCCCGCCAAAGGCAGGACGTCTGGTCACCTTACCCTAAGGAGTTCCATTCTTGGGGCTGCATCTCTGGGGCCAGGAACAAGCGCCGTAAAATGATCACTCCCTCTCCGCCCTCTATTTGCCAACACTTCCCATTTCAACCAGCTGATAGGAAGAGAAACAGAAGAGGGGACATCCTTAACTCGAGGCGGGAAAGGCCCTCCATGAGCCAAAAAGAAGGGGAATGACCCAGTGGAAGAGCCGGATCTGCTGCCCCCCGGAGGCCGCCTCTGACGCCGGCATCCTGAGAGCCTCACACCCGGGGACCACACTGCGCCCCGAGAGGGACTGCTCTGTCCCACGAGGACAGGTGGGCCCCCTGCAGGGCCACAGAGAGTCCTGCAGAGTCACTGCTCACAGCGCTCAGCGTTCTGCTCGGAGCCTGGGCAGGAGAAGTATGCTCCCTTAACTGTCAACAGTGACCCTTTGGGGGAAGGATGTGTGTGTAGAAGCGTCCGGTGAAGCTGCTGACCCAGGAGGCCCACCTGTTCCGCGTATTCTGACGCCAGGCACCTCCGTCCGTCGCTCCGTCTTGCGTACACAGTCCACAGGGTAGTATCAGTACAAACTGAGGAGCAGCGAGCACGGGGGAGGAAAGAAAGCATGGGAAATGAAAGGCAGCGATGTCACCAGCAAAATGCAAAGAGTGTCTTCCTTTTGTTTTTGTGTTTTAAACAAGAAAAGCACGTTGTAGAAATAAAGAATCTGTACAATATTCGGATACTGTCTGTACATAACATTATATTACGTATAGCTCATTGAAGGGTCTTGTGTGTAGAGAATATGGCTGGCCACACCAGAGACCCAGAGCAGGCGGCTGTGGAAGCAGAGCAGATAGCAGGGACCAGGCGGACGAGAGTGCCCGGGGCAGTATCCCCTAGGCTGTGGTCCATGGTGTTGCATGTTCTGCTGGGGGATTCTGCAGCAGGCGAGGTGACAAGGGAAACGTGTTAAAATGGCATGAAAATGCTCATTCAGATCTGCATACCGACTGTGCATGGAAGTTGGTTCGCTCAGCCTCCCTCCGTCCAGTACACATGCTTCCGGTGAGTTAACATCGGAGCAAGCTCCAGCTGCGAGAGAGGCGGCTCTGCAGGGATCGGTGGGCTGGGATCAGACCCTCGGTTGTTCTTTCTCAAGTGGTTCGGGAAGGCTGGAGGAGAAGGAAGTTGTGGGAAGGAAGGAGAGAGCACAGACCCCCGGCCCCACCCACAGAGGGCACGTGTGGGACCTGCAAACCCGTTCCTAGGGCAGCCCGGACGGCTGGGCGGCAGTTCTGGTCTGTGCAGCAGCTTCTGGCAAAATCCTAGTGAGAAGCGCCCCTCTGAATGGCTAAACCACAGTCCCAGCGTCTACTGAAATTGCAGCCCTGGTCTCCTCACCAAGACTGGACTTCCATTCGTAAAAGGGACAGGATCCAGGAAACTCTTTTCCTTTTAATTTATGTCTAGTTGGTAAGCGGGATTATACCAGTTGTAGCAGTTTCAGGTGTACGGTATAGCAGCTGGACATTTCCAGGAACCTGCTTTTAACCAGCACCTTCATGTAGGAAACTCACAGATCTGCTCCGGAAAACACCAGGCTGGACCCATCCAGTGTAGATCTACGAATTCCTTTTGGACGGACTTTAAAACCGAGGACTTTAAACATTTCATAGGAGAGATTCACTGCCCCTGAACTGCCAATATTTCCCTTTGAAAATGTAGGAATAGCCCTAACCGGTTTGGCTCAGTGGGTAAAGCATTGGCCTGTGGAATGAAGGGTCCCAGGCTTGATTCCGGTCAAGGGCATGTATCTTGGTTGCAGGCATATTCCCAATAAGGGGTGTGCAGGAGGCGGCTCATCGATATTCCTAACTCTCTATCCCTCTCCCTGCCTCTCTGTAAAAAGTCAATAAAATATATTATTTAAAAAAAAAATGTAGGAATAGATGGCCACACCCTACAGGTGTGGAGGAGTGTGAGCTGGGAGGACGGCGTTCATTTAAACTGTGCATGTTTTCAAGGTGAGGAGCTGTCCCGGACTCCTGGGCTTGCTGATGGGAACACGGCAAAGGGCAGCCTCATTTTCTCACCCGGAAGTCCTAGAATTCCTGATGAATTCAGAAATGGGGCCTTAGCCTTCTGATGCCGGAAGTGAGTGACACGGCGAATGGGATGCCGGGAGCTCTTTCCCCTGCATTCCCATCGCAGCAAGTTTCCACCCGCTGGCATGCTGAGGTGTCCGCTCTCCCACTCACACCACTCCCCGGGGATCCGCCCAGGCCTCGGCGATGCTCCCCGGAACCAGCTTGGAATTGAAATGAGAACCTAAACTAGTGCCCAGGGCAGACAGTCTTCTCCCACCGGGAAACGCGCTCCAACTTCCCACGGAATCTCCACTTCCAATTGCACGACCAGAAAAAGCAATGAACTGCGGAATTGGGGGGTGGAGGGCGTGTTACAGCAACTGCCACCAAAAGAGAGTGAAAGGAAAAGCCTCAGGAAGATGGAGAATCTCGTCCTGCTCGGAACTCTCCTTTCGAACTCAGAGCATCCCAAGTTCTGCTCGCCGGGGAGGCTGGGAGTGAGCTCATCCCTCTGCAGAGATGTGCCGGCTCCCTTGCCCAGTGGGTGTTTGGCCACCCGGGGCCCATGAGACCAGCTGCTCTCCCCAAACCTCAATCCGAATTTCCCGAGGCCGGTGCGCCCTCCAAACCCCTCCGTGCGTCCAGCCCGGGCATTCCTAAGCTCTGGTCTCCTCTTCCCCGCTGCCGTCCAGGTGCGCCGCGTCCAGGGTCAAGGGCAAGGGGATCAGGGACGGTCGGGGTTGAGGTCGGCAGGTGCAGGTGGGCTGAGTCCGAGGGGCCGGGCGGCCGGGAGGGCCCCGCGTCAGTAATTCAAGAAGTCGATGCCCACCTTGACGCTCTTGGAGGTGGCCACGTCGACGGCCATGGCCTTGATCTCGGTGTCCCCGAACTGCATGAGGGTCTGGATCTCCCTGCGGGCGGGCGCGGCGGGGCCGCCGGCCGTGCCGCTGAGATCCAGGCGCAGCGAGCCGCACTTGCGGACGCCGGGGTCGGTGATGAAGCTCACGTCGTCGCGCTCCGAGCTGTACACGTTGATGACGATGACCAGCTGGGACGGCTTGGCGGGCGTGTAGCTGCGCTTGACCAGCTCGCCCAGCGCCACCGACTGGTCGGCGGCGATGAACTTGTCGAAGACGTCGGTGCACCAGCGGGTGCCGTCCTTCACCAGCAGCTTCTCGGGCGGGTGCTTGCCCTCCACGTAGCGGTTGAGCACGCCCACCCCGTAGGTGAGCGGCGACCGGCGCACCTTGATGACCGCCGGGTCCAGGCCGAAGAGCACGGCGCCCTTGAGGATGGTGAGGCCCACGTCCTGAGGGATGATGATGCGGCAGCGGTCCCCGAAGGCCGCCTGCACCGCCTGCTGCAGCAGCGGCGCCTCGGCGAAGCCGCCCACCAGGAACAGGAACTTGACGGCCGACACCTCGGGCTTCTGGAACAGGTCCCCTGCGAGGGAGGAGGCAAGGACACCCAACTGGCACCGGAGCCAGCAGCCCGGGGGGGCCGGGGGGAGGGGGGGAGGCCTGAGAACGTGGGGAGTGGACACGGCCACCTGGGTAAGGTGACCAGATGTCCCGATTTCTAACACTCTGTCCCGCGCCCCGCAGCGTTTTAAAAAAGTCGGGACGCGCCGAGACCGGTTTGGCTCAGTGGATAGAGCGTCGGCTTGGGGACTGAAGGGTCCCTAGTTCGATTCCGGTCAAGGGCACGTACCTTGGTTGCGGGCATATCCCCAGTAGGGGGTGTGCAAGAGGCAGCTGATCGATGACTCTCTCTCATCGATGTTTCTAACTCTCTCTCTTCCTTTCTCTTTGTACAAAATCAATAAAAATATATTTTAAAAAATAAAATAAAATAAAATAAAATAAAAAAGTCGGGACGCCACGGGACGCGGGACAGATTGTTAAAAATCAAGACTGTCCCGCCGAAAGCGGGACGTCTGGTCACCTCATACCTGGGGGACAGGTGCGGTCTGAACAGAATTTCTGGAGAACCCGGTCTTTTAGACAGAGGGGGTTTGCACACCAATATGCTCGGAGCATCAGCCAAAGCTACTGCTAAGGAGACACCTGTTTTCACAGAGATGGTGACCGAGGAAAGGAGTGCTTTGTTTTGCCTAAAGGATCACTCCTCAAAGCAGCCTCTTATCCATCTGATTCTTTGGGCCCTGGCGGGTACCGTGCAGCTGGGAGTGCCCCAGGCACCGAGAGGGCAGGGCCCATGCCTGGTTTGTAGGCTCGATTCCCAGTAGGGGGCGTGCAGGAGGCAACGGATTGATGTCTTGCATTGATGTTCCTCTCTCTCTCTCCCTTTCTATTTAAAAAGCAATAAAAATATTAAATAAATAGATATTTTTCTTTGCTTTTCATAGGGCTTGGGATTTGGTAGGTGAGGGGTCTGGAGTCGGGGGGGCCTAGATACTGACAAGGGGGAGGCCCCCAGGCAGCAGAGAGCAGGGTGGCCGGACGCTGTCACCCTCCTGGAGGGGCCTCTCTCGGGCTCACACACAGCTGCTTCTCCCAGCAAGAGCTCTGGTCCCTGGTCTTCCCGCAGAAAGCAAAGACCGCGTTGCTCAGGGCCCGCGGCCAGAGGTCATTCTGCTGCTCGGCCCCCAGCTCTCTGCCTGGGAAGCCGGAGGGAAATCTCGGCGTGAGGATGGTTCTTGGCCGCTTCCTCCCCGAGGGCCCGTGGCTGCCAACCCGACTGCACATGCCGGGTCGGAGGTGCTGGGAACGCCGTCCCCGCTCGCAGCTCTGCCCGGGGCCGCCGAGCCCCGGCCGGTACTCACGCAGGTGCTCGATGATGCTGTCGATGGTCGGCTTGAAAAGGGCGTTCATGGCGTCGGGGCTCATCCTCAGCATGCCCTGGGAGGACCACTTCACAAAGTCCACGCTGCGGGGGGAGGGGTGGCACAGAGAGGGACGGGCTGAGCGGACAGACTGCGCCCACAGGCAGACACGGCCCTGGCGGAGCAGCTGGCAGCTCCGAGCAGCAGCGAGGGGGTTAAGGGCCTTGGAAACACGCCCCCCTGCCAGGCCGGAACCTCTGGACATTCACAGCGCAGACTCAGCCTCTTCTGTTTCTCTTTGCCTGCCTTCCCCCCGCCCCCCCGCACCATGGCCAACCTTCCCCGGGGAAGTGGGAGCCCATGTCTAGTGCAAAGGACCAGGAGGTAGAAGCATCTCTCTCTCTCTCTCTCTCTCTCTCTCTCTCTCTCTCTCTCTCTCTCTCTCTCTCTCGGATGACCACACTTGGATGCGGCAAGAGCTGGACTCGAGTCCGGCAGAGGCTCCTGTGCGGTGAGCTAAGGCCGCCTGAGTGCTCGGTGCAGCCCGTCCCACGGCAGGGAGAAGCCTCGTCCCGCCGGTGCCCCCTCGCTGTCCCCGTCAGAGGGCCGGTGTGCAGCAGCGGAGCCCTGGACGGGGAGTCAGGCTGCTGGGCGCCAGCCGGGCCCCACCGCTCAGTGGCCATGGGACCTCGGGCAAGCACGTTCTCTGAGCCCCGGCTTTTCGTCTGCAAATCAAGGCCAACGGCGCTTGCCTCACCCCCCTCCCAGGGGTTGCTGCGAAGGTGGAGTTAGAAAACACGTCTGGGAAAACACTCTGGAAACTTCCTGGTGCTACGGGAACGCCAGGGACCGCAGAGCACGCGGTGTGCACCCGCCTGCTCTCCAGGTCCAAGGGGCCGAGCTAACGGCGGCAAAGCAGCTCCGGCTGCTCCCAGCAGCACGTCCTAGAGGCCTCCCTGTCTCACGGGCCAGAGGACAGTGTGTGTGGCAGAGGGTGACCCACCGGCGGGCCGCGGCCAGTCTCCCGGCCAGGGAGACCCAGAACTGTGCGGGCAGGACGGAGGCGTCAACATGGTAAATAAAAGCCAGACATTTCAGTAACCAGACGCAGGTGCCTCGTGCCGGGGACCAGCGGGGAGGACCCCAGCCCGGGAGGGTCTGGCGAGGACCCCGCTCCCAGGGTGCAGCGGCCTGGATTCAAGTCCACTGTCTCCCGAGAGGAGCAGGGCTTCTTGGAGAAGCAGCCGGTCGCGGGCGGGGTGGGGACGCACAGGTGCGTCAGAGGCACGCACCCTCACGGACTCAGGCGGAGATGTTTAGAGACCACAAAGGCCCGGCCAGTGTAGCTCAGTGGTTGAGCACTGACCTATGAACCAGGAGGTCACGGTTCGATTCCTGGACAGGCCCAGGCCTGGGTTGTGGGCTGGATCCCCACTGTGAGGTAGGCAGGAGGCAGTTGATCAATGACTCTCTCTCACCAATGTTGTTTCTCTCTCTCTCTCTCTCTCTCTCTCCCTTTCCCTTCTTCTCTGAAATCAATAAAAACATAAATAATAAACAAATAAATAAACACACCACTAGGGCCAAGGCAATGGGACTCAGGAGCCAGCCTGAAGGGGCTCCCACCGGCCACAACTAGACAATGGGAGCGTCCCTGAGGATCTGCCCGCCATGGTTAAACATGCATCACATGTGCGTACATCCCCGCGTTCTCAGTGGGACGCCCCCTTGTGCCCCGCAAAAGGAAAACCATCATCTGGAGGGTGCTGTGACATCGGTAATTCTTTAACTGGAGATGGTGCACATGGGAAGAGAGAACCCAGCGCAGTCCTGTCTTCCTCCTGAACTGGGGGTGAGGGCAACCAGGCCGCTGGGGAGTCTCTCTCCGCTCCCCTACGGGGCGTCCCGGGCCAAAGGCGAGTCGGACTCACTTGCTCTTGCGCAGGGCGTGCTCCACGCTATGGCCACGGAACTTCTTGTAGTAATCGATGAAGGAGAAGGGCAGCGTGATGTTCAGCGGGTTGGTGCGGTCCGGGGCGGCCGCCCTCTTGCGAGACTCGAACGCGATCATCAGGTCGACCCAGGCGGCGGGACGCTTGATCTTGAATTGCTCGATGAAATCCTCTCCGAATATCTTGCACAGGAGCTTCTCGAACTCGTAATCCACTCCCAAGGAGCCATAGGGCCCGCCTGCGCCGGGAACGAAACGGGGTCACCGTGTTAGGGACGGTGAGGAAGGCACCCAGACCCTGAGGCCACCCTGGTCTTCTCTCACACACACCACGGAGCGCAGCTAGGATGTCCCCTGGGCCAGGGGTCGGCAAACTCATCAGTCCACAGAGCCAGTTATCAACAGCACAACGACTGAAATGTCTTTGGAGAGCCACGTTTTTTAAACGTAAACCTCTTCTGACGCCACTTCTTCAGCATAGACTCGCCCAGGCCGTGGTTATTTTGTGGAAGAGCCACACTCCAGGGGCCAAAGAGCCGCGTGTGGCTCGCGAGCCGCAGTTTTGCTGACCATGGACCTAAGCTCTCTCGCTCCTCACAGAGAAGCTTTCCTCTAGAATCCGCTCGCCAATCACCTGTTTAAAGCCGGCTACATTTAAATGGAAGCCATATGTTTAACTAGGAGCATCAGGGTTTCCCCCGAAGACACCGAGGACAGGACCGGGGAAGCAGGCAGGCCTCCCGCCGGCCCTGGGGCTGCTCACTCCTCATCACCTCCCTGACCCGGAGCCTGAGCCTGTTCTCCGTTTGGAAACCCAAGCCCAGGGGTCCTGGCCCTCCCAGAAGCTGAGCCACAGCCCGAGCCATGCGTGCCGTCAGGCTGCTGTCACCTCCTCCCACAGCCCCCAGGAGCCACGTTCTTGGCCAGGATCGGAGCCAGGCTCCCTGCGTGCCGAAGCCCCAGGGAGGGAGGTCCGTTTTAAAGGACACGGAACTGCGCTTTGCTATCCAATGTTCCATAAGCCTCAGTGCCGCCCAGCCGGCGCGGCTCCAGTGAGCACCGACCTGTGAGCCAGGAGGTCACGGTTCGATTCCCGGTCAGGGCACATGCCCAGGTTTGCAGGCTTGGTCCCCAGGGTGGGGCGTGCGGGAGGCAGCCGATCAATGATTCTCTCTCATCATTGGTGTTTCTATCTCTCCTTCTCCTTACTCTCTAAAATCAATAACAATAATAATAATAATAATAAAAAATATATGTTTTTTAAGAAATGATAACAACTTACCTTAGAAATAAAAAAATAAAAATAAAAAAAAGCCAAAACCGGTGTGGTTCAGAGCGTTGTTGGCCTGAGAACTGAAGGGCCCCAGGTTCGATTCCGGTCAAGGGCATGTCCCTTGGTTGCAGGCACATCCCCAGTAGGGGGAGTGCAGGAGGCAGCTGATCGATGTTTCTCCCTCACTGATGTTTCTAACTCTCTATCTCTCTCCCTTCCTCCCAGTAAAAAAATCAATAAGATATATAAATAAATAAATAAATAAGAAATTAAAAAAAATTTTAAAAAAGCCTTATGCCTCTTCCTGCCGACTGTCCCCGGCGCAGGCAGCAGAGAGACCGGGATAAGCGGAGAGAAGTCGGGAGGGGCGGCCGGGCTCGGGGAGGGGCGCATCGCCGTGCAGGCTCACCTGTGGCTTTGTAAAGCTCCTTGAGGTGCCCCTCCGGCAACCGAATCTGATGGACGGTCAGGTCCACAGTGCCACCGCCACTGTCCACCACCACGTACTTGTCACCTGGAAAAGATCGACACCGGCCACCCTTCACACAGACCGCTGGCCAGCCCCTCCCGGAACGGGCCGGTGGGCGGTGCCGGGGTCCCCGGCCCTTCTCGTTTGTTAGCACAACGGGTTTGCTCGTTAGTGGCCCAGTGGGTTATTCGTGGCTCGAGAGAAGGCAATGGCGTCTGCGAGGAGCGATAGTGAGCGTGGACGGTCAAGAGCCCAGGCGCGTGGATCTTCAAAAGATCCGGTGGGCAAGCTTCCTGCTGCGTGAAGAGCGCGGCAGGCGGCCGGCTGTGTACCTGAGGGCTTAACCTGGAACCGGTGAGTGCCCGTCCCTGCCTTTCCTCTGAAGGGTCTGTGTGGCTTTAACACACGCCAAATCCCAGCCCCCTCAAAGAGCGCCCCTGGGGGAGCCGTCTTTAAAAGCCACTGATCTGGAAAGTTCTCCAAAAGGACAACAGGGACAAGTAGGAATGCGGTTTTGCCAGAAGCAACACACACACACACACACACACACACACACACACACACACTTCAGCCAAGGCAAAGGACATTCAAGGACGCTACCTTCCTCCAGCTCGGACCAGATCTCGCCTATGACATTCTCCACCAAAAAGGTCCGGCTCTGCCGATTGCGCCGCACGTGCTCCTTAGCTAGTGGCCGACAGAGAGAAAAGGAAGGCGGGTGAGAAAGCACGACAGAGACGGCGCGGCCGGCATCTGCGGAGGCAGCAGCGTGAGCAGGTTAGGGACAGAGCACGCAGTGAACTGCGACCCAACAGTTACAGGGATGCAACCCCGGGAACGGCCAGCAGCTCTCCCAGGACCGGCAGCCGTTGCCACGGCCTTCACCGCTCCGTCGGCGTGGCAGACTGAGCCTGCACCCGGCTGGGAAGCCCGCCTGGATGCGAGCCCATTCCTCCAGGGACTTTTGCGGGGATGGGTTCCTAAAACGGACCCATTTCCTGGCTTCGCTGAACCGGGGAGGAAGCTGTCTGCCAAGCAGCCTTCAGTGGACTCGGTTAAACAATGTCACATCAAGGAATTTTGATACAAGGAGAGCGGCGTGCTAATCAGGATCCTAGATAAACTGGACGGGAGCCCTAATCGGGATCTTGAATAAATTCTAGAGGAGCCATTTCCCCATCTTGTCGAAGCCAATATGCTCTTTGGCCACAAGGTGGCGCGTCTGAAACTGGCAAAGCCAGGCACCAGTGTCCTAGCCCTACAGGACCACCCAGTGGGGACACCACGCGTGGGGTGTCACCTCCCACTGGCCTCCCCATAGCGCTGTGAGGTGGACAGGGCATAAATGATGGCCCTACCTTAGAGGAGGAAACCAGGGCCGGGAGGTTAGGAGACCAGTTCCCACACTGCCTTGCAGCCCCAAATTAACCCTCCAGCCAGCGACCCTCCTGCCTTTGAGATTTAAGAGTTTACAGTGAAGTCTGAAAAAGCAGTACACAAATGTGAAGGACCGGGAAAGGTGCTGTGAGAGGGTACCTGGGAGGCAGCCGGGCACAGCCACAGTGGGGATTTGGGCAACTCAACCCCCACCCCCAGACCAGCCTCAGTTTCCTCATCCATAAAATGGGTATAACAATACGTGGCCTAAGTTCCTCGCAGGCAGAGCAGGGACGGGCTCTCGGATGGGTCCTAAGCAGCCAGTGTGACACCTGCTCACAGTGGGTGACAGTGAAGGCGAGCACCAAGTCCGAGACCCAGTGCCCTGGAAAGCGACCGCCTATGTGGCAGATTGAGGCTCTGCCCACAGCTCTGCTGCCGCGCCTTCTTCAATCCCTGGGCGGGTGCTGCAGACTTCGTCTCTGTCTGCAGCTGTTTACCCACCAAAGGACCCTTGACCCTCTAGCCTCTCAGCCAGGAGCAGTGTTTGCAAAACAACATCTCTGGGGGTTGGGACGGCAAGCCCTGGGCCAGCTCTGAGTTCCTCGGGCCCTGCCTTACGGTGGAGAGGCTGTCCCGGTGGAAAAGCGCCTGCAGGCTGGTGTGGTGCAGCTGGCTGGGCATTGTCAAGTGCACGGAAAGATTGCAGGCTCCATTCCTGGTGCAATTCCCGGTCGGGGCACGTGCCTGGGTTGAGAACTCGAACCCCGGAGGCAGCCAATGGGTGTTTCTATCTCTCCAAAAAGCAATAATAATAATAAAAAAAAAAATCTTAAAAAAAATTCTTACCCGAGGACATTTTTCTATTGACTTTTAGAGAGTGGAAGGAAGAGGGAGAGTCAGAGAGAGAGAGAAACATCAATGTGAGAGAGACACATTGATCGGTTGCCTCCCACACGGCCCCTACCAGGGCCAAGGATGGAACCTGCAACCAAGGTAAGTGACTGGAATGGAACCCTGGACCCTTCAGTCCTGGGGCCGACACTATCCACTGAGCCCAACCAGCAGGGCAACAAGGAATATTTATTAATTAAACAAAAAGAGTTCCTGTAGGCCTAGAGGGACCCACACTCGGGCTTCTCTCCTTCCCCAGCTCCGGCCCCAGATGGACTCTATTGCAGACCTTGCAGTGGCATTTGGTTTCCTAAAACAACCTGGATGACTAACGGGACGGCATTCATAAAAAACAGCCAAGCGAAGCTAACAAGACATGTTCTGAGCTCTCAAAAAATGTATCCTATTTTCCAGGCAAATTAAGCCCATTTTGTGAAAAATGTGCTCTTTATGGCGCTCATTAAATCCTCCAGGTGTAAAATAAAATACCCACGGCAAGCCCTGCCGTGAGGGGGGTTTGGTGTAAGCAAGGGGGACAGAGTGCTGGCTCAGTTCTCCCCCACAGCATCCTCTGGCTCCTCCTGAAGGAGCCCCCAGGCAGAAGTGGCCGGGGGGAGGGTCCCAGGCACCCCGCCCTCCGGTACTCCTGCTAAGGGCTCTGCCCAGCCGACAGCACCCGTCCTCCTGGGAGAGAGTTCCCAACGGCAGCCCAAGGCTGAGACACAGCCCTGCCTCCTGCCCCTCTGAGGGGCACAGGCCAACCACTTGGGGATTTAAAAACCCTAAAGATGCTCTGAGCACATGGGGCCGCAGCAGAGTCCTCAGGCACAGGACACGGGACAGGGCAGGGGGAGACGGGGCAGGGGGCAGACAGGGCAGGGGGAGACAGGGCAGGGGGCAGACAGGGCAGGGGGAGACAGGGCAGGGGGCAGACAGGGCAGGGGGGAGACGGGGCAGGGGGAGACGGGGCAGGGGGCAGACAGGGCAGGGGGAGACGGGGCAGGGGGCAGACAGGGCAGGGGGAGACAGGGCAGGGGGCAGACAGGGCAGGGGGGAGACGGGGCAGGGGGAGACGGGGCAGGGGGAGACGGGGCAGAGGGAGACGGGGCAGGGGGAGACGGGGCAGGGGGCAGACAGGGCAGGGGGAGATGGGGCAGGGGGAGACGGGGCAGGGGGCAGACAGGGCAGGGGGAGACGGGGCAGGGGGAGACGGGGCAGGGGGAGACGGGGCAGGGGCGGACGGGGCAGGGGCGGACGGGAGGCAGGAGGAAAAGAAGCCTCAGGGGGAGAAGCATTCCAAACGGCTCTCCCCTCAGACAGTGGGAAATGGTGGGAAGAGCGGCACCAGAATCAGCTAATCCTCCTGGGTTTCTTTTTTGGAGCAACTTGAGGGAGAACCTGCCAGTGTGACGAGAAGCCCAGTCATTCCTGGTCTTTTCCATTAAAACAACGAAGGTGGAGATGGACACACGTTGGTCACTGCCTGTGTTTCAAACGGTGCAGCTGACCCGGTCCACAGCCAGGCTGCCCTCGTCCTGTGCTGGTCCCAGCACTGCTCAAGGGCAGGTGGAGCCCTGGGCCTAATGGGCAGCCTGCCCCCCCACCTTCCGGGTCACTCAGACCCGAGGTGCCAACACCAGGCCTGGCGGGCAGGGGCAGCGGCTCGGGGACGGTGAACTTTGTGCCACCGCCTTGCGGCTGAGCTCACAGATTCCCCGGGCCTGGGTGAAAGGACAGGCAGGGCTCTGGCGGTTACCCCTGAAGAGGACAGGAGGGGCCCGAGAAGATGGCTGGGTCCAGGGCCTCGGCTGGGCCTCGGGGTGGGGACCACGGAAAACTTGGGAAGAAAGCTGTCCGGGAACAGCCTGCGACAGTCCCGCTGATGCCACCCCTCTCCTTCCGGGCCTGGCCTTCCGGGGGGTGATGGGTGGGGTTTTTGCCCTCAGGACCTTCCCCCGGAAACAGAGCTCAGGCTGTGCCCCCCAGCACTCTGGTTAGCTTCCAAACTCCCTCACAGAGGTGGCTTTGACCCTGACCTAAGGTGTCTGCGGACTCTGTGGCCCTGAACACACCCACGGAGCGCTGGGGAAAAGAGTCCTGGGGACCGACTGGCACCCAGGTGGATACGAAAGAGGGAGAGCTCTTCAGGGTGTCCCCCCACAACCCCGTGTCCCTCGGCAGGTGGCCTCCCCGCGGCTAAGTGAGCATCAGCAGGCTGGGAGGTATCAGTCCTTCTCGTCCGCAGTCTAAACGCTCGCCAGGTTTATGGCCAAGACAGACCATGAGCTCATCACCCCCCCGAGCAGCTCCAAGGAGTGAGTCAGCAGTTAAGTCAACAGTCTTAATGGAGGAATTAATAACAGGAAAACGGGATCAATTGAGAGCCAGTTCGCAGACGAGAAAGAGTAAGAGCTTAGTAAAATGCAAGGCCGAGGACTGCTCTCAGGACCCCCTCGAGTTTGTGGAGTGCAGTGCCCTCCCCCCTCCGAAGGCAGGTGATGAACCAAGGGTACCCCCTGCCAGGTGTCCCGAGGCCCCAGGAGGGGGCTGAGCACAGGGTGCTTAATGCCAACCTCTCTGGCGGCATCCGGATTCTTCGTGACAGCGCCGAGTGCATGTGAATGGTGGCGGCCCGGAGACATGCAGGGCGGGCGGGGGGAGCCGGGAGGGGGAGAGAGAGAGCAGAGGTACCCTGTGCAAACCCAGCTCCTACTGTGTCTCTGGAGCTGTACCCATTGACCGCAGACTTGCTGCTCAGCTCGATCATCTGGTGCAGCCGCAGCTTCCGGCAGTAGATGGAGGCGGCCTCGGGCTCCAGGGCGATGATGAGCTGCTCCGCGTTCTCGGGGGAGGCCAGGCCCGCCTGGAAGACAGGAGCAGAGGCTGGGGCCTGGGCTCCCCAGGGGGACGGCTCCCAGGACACCCCCACCCGGGGCTGGCACCCCCAGGAAGGGACCCTCGAGCCCTGCTGGTTTGCGGAATTCCCTTCATGGGCCCCTGCAGAGCTGAAAATTGGGGGCGATCGGGTGCTGGGCCCTAAGCGGGGTCCCCAGACACCGCAGAGCGGCCTAAGGAGATGTACTAGCATCTGTGGGAAACCTCAGAGCCTCTGGGCCACGGAGCCTCTGGCGTCTGGGGCTTACGTAGCCCAGAACTGAGGGGGCAAAGTCCCAGGAATTTTTTAAAATATATATATTTTATTGATTTTCTACAGAGAGGAAGGGAGAGGGATAGAGAGCTAGAAACGTCAATGAGAGAGAAACATCGACCAGCTGCCTCCTGCACAACCCCGACCGGGGATGTGTCCTCAACCAATGTACATGACCTTGACTAGAATGGAACGTGGGATCCTTCAGTCCGCAGACCGACGCTCGTCCACTGAGCCAAACAGGTTTCGGCAGTCCCCAGAACTTTGAAAACTGTTGCAGAGGGGACAGCAGGTGGCCTGGTTTGGGCTGTAGCAGGAGGCCCGGTTTGGGCTGTAGCAGGCCCAACAGTCTGATCGAGTCAGAGCTAGCCCCGATCTCGGGGTAGGGGGTGGGGTGGGGGGGAACAAATAGCCCATCTCCGGGTAGGATTTTGCTGGATGGGGGTGGGACAGGGGGGCTCCCAGGCTCCGGGAGAAAGCCCTTCACGGAATCCCGCAGAGCGCCCCCTTCTGAAGGGTGGGTGGGGAGGCAGCTGCCACTCCCTCATTCAAAGTCCTGTCCCTCTCACAGCAGAAATGCTCTGCTCTGCGACACCTGGCTTGTTCCAGTGTCTCCTGGAGGCTCGGAGACCACCCTTCTGAGGGTGCCCAGGGAAAGGAGCCCGGCCTGGCCCCTTCCAGGTCCTGGCCCACCTCTTGTGGCCTTGAACTTGAGCACCAGATATCGCTTGTTCTTTTTTTTTTTTTCTTTTAATATATTTTATGATTTTTTACAGAGAGGAAGAGAGAGAGAGAGAGAGAGAGTTAGAAACATCGATGAGAGAGAATCATCAATCAACTGCCTCTTGCACACCCTCTACTGGGGATGTGCCTGCAACCAAGGTACATGCCCTTGACCAGAATTGAACCTTGGACCCTTCAGTCCGCAGGCTGATGCTCTACCCACTGAGCCAAACCGGTTTCAGCCTCGCTTGTTGGTTGAAGCTGTTCAGGCCCCTGGGGTTTCCTGCCTGTCAATGTTTGTTGTCTTTGGTCCCGTTTCCATGGGAACCTCAGAGGCCGCACCCACTCGGCAAAAGGCCCCAGCTCCACACCCAGTTCATGAAGCTTCATGGCCTCGACCTGGAGGCCGGGACAGGCCTGCCTGATGTCACACGTGCACAGTGACCTCTCGCCAGGAGGGGCTGCCTGCAGTCGCCGGTGGAAGGGGTGTAGCAGGTACAGTACCTGGGCGGGCTGGGAGGCCAGGTTAGGAGGGCAAAACCGAAAAGGACCTTCCGGATGCCACCCATCCTTCACTCTGTGGAGAGAAGCCAGGGCTCGGAGCAGCAGGGCGACCTGTCCCGGGTTCCAGGGACGTGGGCCTGCGTCTCTTAAGCTCCAAGGCACTGGACCCGTAAGCGGCCGAGCAGCCCAGGCCCCTGTCTCACGCCTGGCAGACCAGCTCTGTCCTGGTTCTCGGCTCTCCCGGCCTGAGCGACTCCAGCTGCTGGGGTGGGGCCCAGGCCTTCGGGGGACTTGGACCAAACTCCCTGTGCCTCTAACGCTCCCCTCCACTGGCTTAAAGGAACAGCTACCCGTGTACCCTAGGACAGCACCTGATGACGCTGCCAATAGGTACTTGCCTATGCCGTACCCAGACCAACCAATTAATTCCGTCTTCCTGAGCTACCACCAGCGGCAAGTGCCTGGACATCTCACGTTACCAATCCCGAAGGCCTCCCAGCAGCGGGAAACCCAAGGTGAGAGAGGGCCCAGGACAGAGCGACACACTCCTCCGTGCCCACCAGGCTTCACGCTCCACCTCGTGCTCCCAGTGGCAACGCAGGTCTGGGCCCCCACTGGCTGCTCCCAAAGCGGCCAGTGAAAAAAGCTGAGGGCCAGCCGAAACCGGTTTGGCTCAGTAGATAGAGCGTCAGTCTGTGGACTGAAAGGTCCCAGGTTCGATTCCAGTCAAGGGCATGTACCTTGGTTGTGGGCACATCCCCGGTAGGGGGTGTGCAAGAGGCAGCTGACCGATGATTCTCTCTCATCGATGTTTCTAACTCTCTATCCCTCTCTCTCCCTCTCTGTAAAAAAATCAATAAAATATATATATTTTTAAAAACACAAAAAACTGAGGGACAGGCAAGAGGAAGCAGCCGGTAGGGGCAGCCTCCACCTCCCCAGGGGGGGGGGTCCTAGGGCTGCCTGGACTCCAGGAAAAGGAGGAAACATGAGGGGACCCACCAGGCTCAAAAGCCGGCTCTCTCCGGGCAAGAGGATCTGGTGCCAGGAAGTGTGAGCTTTGTTTCTGGCCCTCCAGCCCGGCCGCTGTCCGGAGACCTTGTCTGGAGACTGGGGGGGGGGGGGGGGGGGTCTATGTGCCTGGGACCAGGCCAAGGTCACCCGAAGCAGATGAGTGCTCCCTCTGCCTTTGCTAATCCAGCCCCCGGAGCTGGGACCTCCTTGCCGCTGGGCCTGTCCGGCCTCTCCTGCAGGAGGGGATGTCCTCCCAGCGAGCCTTCCTGCCCCAGCACACAGGGAGCTGCCAAATGAACGCATGGAGCATCCCTGCAGCCTGAATAAGATTCTGCCATTTCCTGGCGCTCATCTCTGCAAACCGGGATGAGACAAGCACTCCGCCTACGTGGCCGAGGACCCTACAGACAGAGCGCTTCAGCCAGGAGCACGCGACCCCATTGGTCTCCTCCGGGAATCTGGGGCGGCAGGAGCGCCATCGGAGCGGCCCCTCGGAGCGCTGCTTCACGGTCCCCTGCTCCCGGGGGGGGGGGGGGGGAGCAGCAGGTGGCGTCCCCAGCGCGGCCAGGGACAGGGCCGTCCACGCTCCCCCGGCCTGCAGCCAGCTGGGAAAACCTGCCAGGACTGTGTTTACAGCTGAGAGAAAAGGCCAGGCGGCCGGCGAGCGCTCCGCTGGCCGGGCGTCAAGCTGCACGGGCCCCGGCCGTCCTGGGTGGCTCTTTTCTGCGTGTTTTTCTGATGTGTCTGTTTGTCACTGCGCTCCGCTCAGAGGGGGAGGCAGATGTGAGCTGCAAAGCGGTGCCGGAGGATGAAGTCATCTGTAGGGAAACATTTACTGAGCGGGTTCTGGAACCTCCTAGGGTGACACATTCTAGGCAGAATGCCTCTAGAGAAACAAACTGTTTCCTGTCCGTACAGCTCTCAGGACGCAGGGGGACTACCTCCCGTTCTAGGCCTCGTGGGCCTCCGAGGAGGGACCAGCTGTTCTTTTTTTAAAAAAAAAATTTAAGCCGAGACCGGTTTGGCTCAATAGATAGAGCATCGGCTTGGGGACTGAAGGGTCCCAGGTTCGATTCCGGTCAAGGGCATGTACCTTGGTTGCGGGCATATCCCCAGTAGGGGGTGTGCAAGAGGCAGCTGATCGATGACTCTCTCTCATCAATGTTTCTAACTCTCTATCTCTCTCCCTTCCTCTCTGTACAAATTCAATAAAATATATTTTTAAAAAAAATTTTAAATCCTCCCTTGAAGACATATTTTTTTTAATTGATTTTAGAAAAGGAGAAAGGGAGAGAGAAAGAGAAACATCCAGTAGGTGCCTCCCAAACATGCCCCAACTGGGGATCGAACCCACCACCTACGTATGTGCCCTGATCAGGAGTCAAACCCTCATGTCTGGTGTCCAGGACCCAGCTGAGCACCCGGCCAGGGCAGAACCATCCTCTCGCAGGATGCTCTTCAAGGGTCTAACGGTGCCCCAGGCTTTATAAAAGGTAGAGGTTACCCTACTTTTTCAACAAGCGCTTGACTCTACCAGTGGCAGGTATGCTGGGGGTTCACAGATGGAATAAAGAGCCCCTGCACGCCCTCTGCCCCCAGAAGTGTGAGGCTGGCTTCAAGCTACCCGAGAGCAGGGACGGGCCCGGACGCGCAGGGCACAGGTGTGAATCCAGGGCCTCGCCCCGGCCCGGCCCACAGAACACTCCGGGCCCAGGTTTGTTGAATGAATGAGTGACTGAGTGAGCAGGGACGGAACGGCCCTGCCATCTTAAAATCCATTCAGTGACTGTAGACTGAGCACAGTATCAAATCAGAACGTCTAAGTGTCCAAAATGAAGCTGCACAGCCCTGGCCAGGTGGTCCCGTTGGTTACGGCATCATCCCAAACACCAAAAGGTCGCAGGTTCCACCTCCAGTCGGGAAACACACCTAGGCTGTGGGTTCAAGCCCCTGTTGGGTCATGTCTGGGAGGCAACTGATCAAAGTTTCTCACATCAGTGCGTTGCTGTTGTTCTTTCTCTCTCTCTTCCTTCCTCTCCTCTAAAAATCAATTTAAAAAAACAAAACCAAACAAAAAAGCATATCCTTCGGTGAAGATTTAAAAAAAAAAAAAACACTGTGCAATCTCGGCACCAAACAAAAGCCCCCCAGTTCTGAGGAGACGGCCTGTTCGCAGAGGGTCTCCGGCTTCAGAGAGCGGATTCCCTGTGTCCATGGAAGCTGTCGTATTTGGCCTGCTCAAGACAGGTGACCTTCTACTCTCCGAGGTGCCATTGTGATTGTGCCAAACGCCAGGGGATGCCACCCCCCGCCCTCCGCCCATTTCCTTCCTCCTCAGCTGCCCCCGGCCTCTCCCCTCCCCCTCGCTGCCTCCAGCCCCCACCCCACGCTTTCAGAGATGCTGTCCTTGGAGGAGTGTGTGTGTGTGTGTGTGTGTGTGTGTGTGTGTCCCCACCGCCCAGCTCTAGCAGCCCTGACACATCTGCCGGTCACTGCACCTCCTTCGTTTTCAGGCTAAAAATAAGCGCTGACCCCTTTCTGGGTCACACGTTTGTTGCTGGAGGCTTCTTCCTGTGAGCTAGAAATGAGGGTCAGAGCCATGAGGCTGAGTGTCCGGCCTGGGAAACACGCAGACCGGACACGGGGCCGTATGGCCTCAGACAGCCGTTCCCGGGGTCCTGACTTTGGCCACAGCCTGAAGGCCACGGCCACGGCCACGGCACAGCCCGGGCTGCCCGGGCGTCTGTGGCAGCTGAGGTGCGTCTGGGCTTCCTTCTCTTTAAAGGATTGCCTCTTTTTGGAACTTCCACCCTCTTCCTTCATCCCCATGAAAACAAGTCTATTTTGGGCAGATGCATGGCTGAGCCAGATTCTCACGCTGAGCGGAGCGGAGGAAGGGGAGAGACAGTCTGGGGTGAGCCTGGGTGGGGGGGAGGGGGGAAGTGGGGGGGAAAGGGAGGAGAGGGGCACTGCCCTGACTCTATCTGCCACCTGGAGTAAAGCCCCGAATGTGGGGTACAGTCCATGACGCCGGGGCAGGGGGGGAAGTGGGGGGAAGAGGGGCATTTAACTACCCTGCTGCGCTCAGGGTGGAGGCGGTGGGTGGTGGGCGTCGGCCAGGACAGGATCGCCCCTCTGGCCACAAACCCAGCGTGGGAGGCATGTCCCCTGGTGGAGGGCGAGAGGACACCGGTGTCCGTGGTGACATCCCCAGCCCGGCTCGGGCGGATGGCTGTGGAGACTGACGTTCAGGGCACAGAGTTGCCAAGGCCCAGGGTGGCGTTCACGGCCCAGGGGAGGCAGTAAACACGCGGGAGCCAGCTCTGCCCTTGGATTAGAACCCAGATCGCAGGACCAGCCTGTCTTGCCAGGACGTCAGGCTCTCATGGAAGCCCTGTGCTGGCACAGTGGTCTGCAGCCGCGTGAGGGCTGGAGGCTGGCAGAGTTTGAGGCCCCAGCGGAAGGGGGATGGAGGGGGATGGGAGGAGCAGGCACCCAGGAGGGATGGGCTGGAATGCCATCTCCATGGCGCTGTGTTGACTGGCATCCTCCTTAGCCGTGCACTGCCCTCATCCAGGTGTCTGCCACCCGGTGACAGCCTCACCCTGCTGGGGCGACCATGCGTGCTCCTGTGAGTTCCCAGGCAAGGCGGGCAGAGGGGAATAGATCTGTATTTCTGCCCTGGCACCAAGCGCCACCTCCCCCTCCCCGCGCTCACCTGGTAGGCAGCTTGCCTCATGAACTGCTTGGCGGGCTGCTTCCAGATGGCAGGCACCGTGATGACCCATCTGACGTCAGCGTTATCGAACTCCGAACCCGCCTGGTCGCTCAGCTCCTGTGGCCGAGGAAAGGGCAGCCGGTCAGGCGGATGTGGCCGGTCCTCCTGCGGCTGCGCTGAGCTTTTTTCCCCCCTGCTTTGGGCCAACATGAAATGGCCGATTTTTGTTATTTCCTCGTGGGTCTGCACTGGGCTTTAAAGCAGGTGAGCGTGTGCGTGTGGGAAGGACTGTGAGCACACCTGCCAGGCTGTGTTAGCCTCCGCAGGAAGAGCTGGCCGGGATGATGGCTTCCTGGCTGCAGGGGCTGTAGCTTAGCTCTGCCGTCCGCCAGCCGCCGGAGGGGAAGGAACCTGACATTGACCCTGACGTCTCCCTGGTCCCGCACTCCCGCTCGCTTTCCTTCATGAACCAGCCCACCACGCGAGGGATCTCTGAGACCTTCTACTTCGGCTCATTCTGGCCCAGCATGCCACAGTCCCCTCTGGATCACCCGCCCCTCAAGGACCAGGCCGCCCCCTGTGAAGGCCTCGCTCCTGTAAGTCTCCTTGAACAGCTTTCTTCATGGAGTTTCTTTCGCTTTTTTAAAAAATATATTTGTATTGATTTCAGAGAGAAGAAGGGAGAGGGAGAGACGGAAACACCAACGATGTCCCCTCTGTGCCAGGCATGTGCCAGACCAGGAACCGAACCTCGACCTTCCGGTTCAAGGGGCCACCCGGTTCCCCAGCGGCTGCACCACTGTCCACTCCGCCCCGCGGTCAGGAGGGCGCGTCCTGCTCTCTCCCTCCGGGCACAGGCCCCACGGCACAGGCGCCGCCACGGTCCTACCTTCAGCGCCTGCTCCTTGAAGTACTGCAGGGCGTAAGCGAAGATCTCCAGGGCTTTGATCTTCTTGCCGTTGGCCGCTGTCAGTTCTGTATCCAAGGTGAGGTCCTGGCAGGGAGAGGAAGGGGACAGTAGGAAGACAAGGAGAGGGGCCTTCCAGCTGCCAGCTTCGGGGACAGCTGCCTGCAGCTGCCGGAGGCGGGGGGGGGGGGGGGGGGTGAGGGGGAGGTGGAGATATGTGTGTGGGTGTGTGGTGGGGGAGGTAGAGAGGTGTGGCCGATGACCACATCAGTGTTCCCCAATGTGTGAGAGGCAGCCCAGGATGTGAGTCCCCCAAAACTGGCTTGGAGGAAATGTCCTCGCACTGTGCAGGAGGCCCTGGCTGCTCCGCTCAGCCCCTCTGCTCCCCCCCCCGCCCCCCCCCCCCCCAATCCTCTGGGAGCGAGGTTTCAGGGCAGCCACGGAGCCCAGGCAGAGAGAACGGCAGCAGGCGCCGCCGGTGCCATTTACATCTTATTTGCACCCGGGACACACATGGTCACCCTCAGAGCCCACGGAGGCCTCCATAATCATGCCAACGCACTGGCATGCCTGGCGCTGAACATTCCTGAAGGGAGCTGCCAACCAAGCGCCCAGAATAGCGGAGCTCCTATTTTCAGGCTTTGCAGCCTGGTTCTCGGGAGCCTGGCACCGCGCCTCGCTCCCTCGCCAGGAGCAAAGAGGCCTGAGCGCGGGCCTGGATGGAGGATGCTCTGGGACGCTGTATGGACTGGGGTCGTTCAAAACTGAGGGGAGACATCCCCCCGCTGGGGATGGGCAGAGGGAGCCCCTGAGCCTCCGGAACCACCAGGCTCGTTACTGCTGGGGCAGTCAGGGGGGCCTCCGGATGGACCCCGCTGGGCAATGGGGCGCTGCCTCCGGAGTGTGAAGGGGCAGTGAGCTGCTAACCCAGCCTCGGGAAGCCTGCCAATCATCCTGACCCACCTGCACAAGCCCCTCCTCCTGGATGCTCAGAAAGACACCCCAGCTTTGGGGCAGCGGCTCCTGGACTCAGGAACATGGCTGAGCCCCTGGAAGCCACAGGCTCAGCCTTTTACAACTTCCTGTGTGTCCACCTCTGCAGGCTGAGTGCAGCACTGCACCCCCTCGGGCGAAAAGGGAGGGTGTGTTCCTAGCAGGAGCCTGTCCACGGGGTAGAGAGACCATCCCCCCCGTGAGCACGGGGCCCTGGAAAGCAGGGTGCTGGCGGCTAGGTTGCCCATGAGTGCTTGTTTTGTCATCCGCACGCACGTCACGGCGACAAAGGAAAGCAATCAGGGGAGCTCGCCCTGACTAGCACTGACAAGTACCACATGGCGGGAGAGCTGTGTGTGTTCTGATTCCCTTTCTCCTCACAAAACCCCCGGGACGAAGGCATTGCCAGTGTGTCCATTGCACAGATAAGGTAAAGCAAGGCACGGAGAGGCCAGGGGCTGGGATTAAGCCTCTGGAAGGGGCAGGACTTAAACCCAGGCTGTCTGCCCTAGTGTCCGGACCTTACACACTGTCACCGCCCTGACTCTCCACGGAATGATGTGTTTAAGCGGAAACAGTTCTATCCTCCAGCCTTTTCCATGCAGCTTGAGGGAAGTCCATCGTTGACCCAGACAATGTGTCGGGAGCAGCTCTGCCCCAGGACCTGGACCGCCAGCTGCCGGGCACCTGATTTCCTGAGCTTCCCCCTCCCCCACGCAGGGGGTTAATGGGCCACTCGTTACTTCCGGACTGGCTAGTGACCACCACTGCCCTCATCCCCCCGAAAGCCCCTGTCCCCACATCCCTCCTTCAGGATCCCCTAACCTCCCAATGATCCTATAATCCCAGCCCCCCAGGTCTATGCTCCTGCCAGCATCCACTCTGATTGGTCAGTTTCCCAGGGAATCAAGTCGCAAAATATTCTCAACATCTCCCTGCCCACATGTCCATCACAAAGTGCTGTGCGTTCCACCAACGCAGTGGTCGGCAAACCTCGGCCCTCGAGCCACATGCGGCTCTCTGGCCCCTTGAGTGTGGCTCTTCCACAAAATACCACGTGCGGGCGCGCACGTGCAGTGCGATCGAAGCTTCGTGGCCCATGCGCAGAAGTCGGTTTTTGACCTGGGAGTGTCTGTTTTGAAGAAGTGGCCTTAGAAGAAGTGGGGGCGTCGGTCATATGTGGCTCTCGAGCTGTGGTTTGCCGACCACTGCACTAACTCATTGGGTGCTCAGGTAATTTCTGGAATCAAGGTCAGTGGCGTGAATGTCTGCCCGGGAGGAAGCCCAGGGTCCCCTCCCCCACAAACCCGGGGACCCTGGCTCTCCGCGGCAGAGGGCCTGGGCCGGGGCGGGCCCGCTCACCCCGGTCGTGTGCAGCTTCATCTTGAACTTCTCCAGGTACAGCCACTGCTTGGCCTCGGTGGGGTCCAGGTCGTGGTAGAAGTCCCTGGCCGCGTACCCGAAGCTGTGGAACTTCCTCTCGGGGGTCAGCAGGATGGTGGTGGGCGTCTTCTGGCTGGACACCCCGGGGTCACCTCCTTCCCACCGCCTGCCGCCGAGGGAAGGCAGAGGTTTGGCACCTTCTTCCGAAGCCCGGGAAAGGCCCGGGGTCGGAGGAGGCGGAGGGGCCGCTGGAGGGGGCGGAGGGGGAGGCTGTGGGCTCAGGAGGAACTCGGAGGGGCCTCGAAGGAGGAGCGGACGCGAAGGCCGCTCAGAGGAGGCCCGCGCGGGCATGCGTGTGTGGGCAGGAGAACAGGTGTGCAGTGAGAGGAGAACAGGTGTGCAGTGAGAAGAGAACAGGTATGCAGTGAGAAGAGTGACTGTATCAATGGGAAGCGCCAGGGACAGCCGCCCGAGCATCCCCTTCCATTTGCATTCCTTCCTTCCCACTGAAATGGTAAATCAGCCTTCTCTCACCGCTCCGCCCGCCTGTCCCGTGTTAAGTTCCTATGCTCTGATGAAGTGAAAGGCAGGAGGAACCTCCTTCCGAACCCCGAAGCTGAGAGGACAGCTCTGGGCCCTGGCCGCGGCCGGTGCCTTAGGCGGTTTGCTCCCCGCAAGTCCAGCTCTGGCTGCTCTTTGCCCCAGTTTCATGGCATGGCTGCCTCCCGGGAACCGCATTGCTGAAGACAGCTGCGGAGACACTGACGGGCACTGACTCCAGCTTTTTCCACTCGGGGCTCCTGTCCCAGAGACGGCGGAGCAGACAGACCCTACGCCTGCCTGGCCAATCGGAGGCAGGATCCTGGCTCCACAGGCCGAACCCCGAGGGCCGTGCTGTCTCAGGGTCTCTGCTGGAGAGGAGGTGACACTATGGGTCTCCGGAGCCTCGTAGTGCGGGTCCCTTAGCTGAGCCACGTCTGCTTTTCCAGAGGAAAGGCGGGGCCTAACCCAAACCAGGTGGGGATCGCTTTTATTACAGCTTGTCTTGTCTACCGCACTTTAAAAAAAAAAAAAATGCCTAGAATCTTACTCCGGGATTGATAACTAAATCCCACAACTACCAGTGAAGGGGACTGCCAATCACAATGTATCTCCAGGGCCATAGTGGATTTGGAGAATTGGGGTGATCAATCCCCGGCTCCCAAAGCTTCGGGGGCTGAAGACGGCGGGAAGGCCAGGGCCAGGCCGGGGCAGCAGGCGTCGGTGCTGGACAGACCGGAATCTCCCTGGACAGCCGGCACCATGGGGACACGGTGGGCACCAGAGTGTGCCGGCTGCCGTGTGCATGGGGTGGGTACAGGGAGTCTGAGAGCGCCCCCAGGAGACCCAGGGCAACTCCAGGTGACCCTTCACGCGGCTGCATTGCCCGCTCTGCTTCCTCTCAGGCGTGGCGCTTTCTGCTCTGGTCACGCACCCGTGACACCCCCTCACTTGGAAGAGCTGACACCTCCCCACCTACACTGACAGGAAGTCTCACTTCGTCTGCACACACACACTGCGAGGCAGGAATTGTCAGCATCGCCATTTCACAGATGAGGGCACTGAGGTTCAGAAGGTTCAGCAATGGCCTAAGCTCGCGCAGTGACTGTCCACCATGGACTCCTGTAAGCGGGCACCTGTCCCCCAAGGCTGCAGGCCGGAGTTCCCCGGGCCAGGTTTCACACCCAGAGCCATGTCCTTCCCCGGGCCAACTAAGTCAGAATGAAACCAGCACTGTCTCGGCGGTCCACGACCCCGCAGCCCAGAGACCAGCGTGGCTGCCCCAAGTGGGCAGCGTGAGTTTGGGCCGGGCCGGGCTGGGCCAGAGTCCGGGACCCGGAGCCTGGACCCCCCCCCCCCCCCGCCCAAGCACTCGCCTCATCACATGGATGCACTCGGGCTCCTTGGTGAAGCTGTAGGCGTAGCCGCTCGACGTGGTCCCGAAGTCCACGGCCACCACCACAAGGAACGTCTGCTGCTCCGCGACGCTGGAGTTGGCATCGTTCTGCAGATACGCCGAGAAGGTAGGGGGGGGGGGTCATCACACCTGGCTTTCAGGAAAATGCTTCGGGGGGTCCCACCCGGCCCCGCTGCCCACCCACTGCCCAAGATGGCACTGTCTGGATCAAGCCCTGGGGAGAGGGGAGGCCAGCTTGGCTCAGGGAGACGCCCCTAAGGGAAGGACCATGCCCACAGCTTGCCACCACTCCCTTTATCACCTGTGCATGCGCGGCTACTACACACACCACCCCCAGGGCCGGGGCCATTGGCTCTGAGTGACAGCCTGCCACCCAGGGTTCTCCTACAGACAACACCCCCATTGGCTCTGAGTGACAGCCTGCCTCCCCCTATTCTCCCCCAGGCTCCGTGCAGACCTGCAGCCACTGCCCAGGGGCTCTGCCAGCTATGCCCATGCAGCTCCGTGGGTCAGGCCTGGCAGCAGGGCTCCATATACCAGGGCCCTGCCGGCTGCTGCCATAACCATGCATGATCCTGCTGGGTCCCGTCCCCTCAGGGCTGCCCCCACCTGCCTGCCCATTGCTGCCACCCAGGCCACTGGCTCCAACGGCACCAGCCACACGGGCCCAGAGAGGGACAAGGAGTCGGGAGGGCTCACTCGGCTGGTACCGGGACCACGCCATCTCCACCCAGGAACGTGACGGGCTGCTCAGCCGCCTCATGCCAACAGACCCAGACAGACAAGGTAATGAACGCACTCCCACACGCATGTACACACGTCTTACCACGATATGGGAAGGGGACAGAGGCGTGATCCCTGTGTCCCCAAGACTCCGGGCAGGAGATGAATACGCAGACGTGGGGGCCGTTTCTGGAAAGAGAAAGGAAAGCACGCTTCTTAGAGGTGGTAGGGGCCCGCCGGGGAGCAGGTGCCAGGCTGTGTGGTGGGCCAGGCTGACCCCAGCCACACAAAGTTCAGGTGTCAGCACCCCCTTACATTTAGTATTTAAAACAATCAAATGAGCCCGAGCCAGTTTGGCTCAGTGCATAGAGCATCAGCCCGAGGACTGAAAGGTCCCGGGTTCAATTCCTGTCAAGGGCACACACTTTGGTTACAGATTCCCCAGCCCTAGTTGGGGTGCGTGTGAAAGACAACCAATTGGTGTGACTCCCTGAGTTGATTTGGCGGTTTCCAGGTTCACTCTTAACCTTAAGCCTTAGACATTTCTCCAAAGAATATATACAAATGGCAAATAAGCACATGAAAAGATGTTTAACATTAGTAATCATTAGAGAAATCAAATCAAAACCACCATGAAATACTCTTTCACAGCCTGTAGGATGGCTATAATAAAAAAGAAACAGAAATGACAAATGTTGGCAAGGATGTGGACAAATGGGAACATTATATATATATATATATATATATATATATATATATATATATATATATATATATATATATTTTTTTTTTTTTTCTTTTTTTTTCCGGGTGGTAATGAGAGATGACACAGCCACTGGAGAAGAGTTTGGTGGTTCCTCAAAGAGTCAAATATAGAATTACCGTGTGACCCAGCAATTCCACTCCTAGATATCTACCCCAAAGAATTGAAAACAAAGATTCAAACAAATACATGTACGTGAATGTCCTTGCAGTCACAATAAGTACATTGTAGGCAGAACCTGGTATCCACCAATGGGTGAATAGATAAACAAAACATGGTATGTCCATATAATGGAATATTATTCAGCTGTAAAAAGGAATAAAATTCTCATACATGTCATAACATAGATGAATCTAGAATACATTATGTTAAGTGAAATAAGCTAGGCACAAAAGGTCAAATACAGTATGATTCCACTTATATGAAATATCTAGAATAGGCAAATTTGTGAAGATAGGAGATGAATTTGGGGTTACCCAGGGCTGGAAGGGGTCAGGAACAGAGTGTGTACTGTTTCTGTATTGGTAAGGAAAGGTTTTGGAAACAGATAGTGGTGATGGTTACACAATACTGACTATAATTATTTCCAAAGGTTTGTACACTTAAAAATGGTTAAAATGGCAAATCTTGCATTTTACATTATATATATATATATATATATATATAATTTATTTATTATTATTATTTTTTTTTTTTACTTTACTACACAAATATTTTTTATTAAAAAAAAATCAACTTGTCCTAACCGGTTTGGCTCAGTGGATGGAGCGTTGGCCTGCGGACTGAAGGGTCCCAGGTTCAATTCCGGTCAAGGGCATGTACCTTGTGAAGATAGGAGATGAATTGCAGGCACATCCCCAGTAGGGGTATGCAAGAGGCAGCTGATAGATGTTTCTCTCTCATCAGCGTTTCTAACTCTCTATCCCTCTCCCTTCCTATATTTAAAAATAAATATATAAGTTAAAAAATCAATGTGCACATCTGAGGGGGGGAAGCAATTTTTGATTCCTATTAGCACCCAAAGCTCGGTGCTCTTGAGAGGAGAATGGAGACAGAAGCCAGGCTCCAGGACCAGCCTGCTAGCCTCTGCCTTCTTAGTTGATCCTCTAGCTCAGGGGCATCCCCTGCCACGAAAGCTGAGGGGGGGAGGTGGTTGGCCTCTCCACTAGGGGGCCCGGCCAGATGGTCCTTTCCACCTGTTGACAAGGCTTCTGCCCTGCCCTCGGCCTTTGGGGCAGCCGGCAGAGATGCCACCCTGCACTGGAGCCACACTCTCTCCACCCGCTACCTGGAAGGCCTGAGGCCATGTATCCACGCTTGCACAGAAGGTCTTGGAAGAAACCAAATGTCTAATTACCCAGAAAATCTGGTGTTGGCAATTAGCAAACAAGCCATTATCTGCAGACACACCATCCACCGCCGTCCGCTTGGCTCTAATTATCCCATCACTCAGCCCTGCTCAGAGCACGGCCCACTGACTAGCACAATTGCATGTGCTGGGCCAAACATGTCTCGGGCCCCCGGGGACTCCAGGATACTCAGGGCAAGAACCAAGGACCTGCTGGGTTCTCCCCGTGAGCCCCTCCCCCTCTGTCTCGGTGCAGTAGGAAATAAATCATTTGACTTGCTGGTCACTCAACCAGGCCTTGTAGGGGCAGTTAAACTTCACAGACTTCACCCATCCAGAATTAAAATGCAGCTACACTGTGTAATGATTTAAAACTGATCTGCAAAAAAAAAAAAAAAAAAAAAAAAAAAAAAAAAGGCCTGCCGCAGCATTTTTATAGATAGGTGCATATCGTGCTCACCCACATCTACAGCGCTCTGCATCCCAAATCAAAGGTGCGCCCCACCTAATGAGCATCAGGCCAGTGCAGGAAGAAGATACAAAGCCTACAGTGCCAACTTTGTTCTCAAGCTGCTTTTTCTTTATCTATTTAGGATATCAAAGTGGTGCTCAAAAATTCTTGGGGAGCCCTAGCCAGTTAGGCTCAGTGGATAGGGTGTCAGCCCTTGAAATGAAGGGTCCCGGGTTCAATTCCGGTCAAGGGCTCAATCCCTGGCCCTGGTCGGGGCTCGTGTGGGAGGCAACCAAATGATGTGTCTCCCTCCCTCCCTCCCCTTCCATTCTCAAAATCAATGGAAAAATATCCTCGGGTGAAGATTAACAAAACAACAACAAATTTTTATTATTATTATCATTATTATTGGGGGAAAGAACATGGAAAAGCCTCCTTTATCCCTGCGGGCTATGGCAAGTTTCTGGAGTGCTAATAGCCCCAACACAGCTGAGAGCTTCCATTCGATAAATAAGTGGTTGGGAATAAAGACCAGGGGGTCAGTGGAATATTATCTGCTGATCTAAGAGTGCTTGACAGACCTATGCTAACAGACAACCAGAGAGAGTTGATGCATGACGTGTCTATTTATACAAAGTACATGTCTATGACCTGGCCCCCAATACACAGGGGCCATGGACCCCTGTAAGATGTTCTGTTGTTAGCTGAGGCCTGTTTATGTTTCTCTGCAAAGCCAATGCAATAACATCTGCCGTGACTGCTCCCACCTGTGTGATATTCCCGGTCAGCACTCACAGGGCGACATGGGCATCAGGAAGAGGAGAGAAAGGCAAAGTTAAAAGCCCAAAAAGAATGGAAATTTGTAGAGTGCAGGCTGTGAGGAGAGAAAGGAAACTGATGAAAAGAAACTGAGACCCACCTGTGAAGATAGGGAGAGGAGGAGAGGTGAAAGGAAAACGCTTTGCAGGTAAAGCCAGAAACTCTGGGAGTTTGAAGAAAAACCTACTACACTGTTCCCAGTAGATTAACCAGACATTTAAGCATCTCACCCTTCCAGCACTAAGTTACCCTGGCATGCAGTAACACAAAGGGATTTGATGATTTCACATCGAAAAATCAGAAAAACACCATTTCAGGAATGCAACCTCTGAGCCACACAACCTCTGGATCATGGAGAATCAGCTTTCTGGTCAACCAGAGAATTATTGTCGGGACTCCTTTGTTACTGATTTTAGCTAATTTAACAGCACTTCTGTCTTGCAGATTTACTGTGCAATCCTTTTTAGTTTATTGTATGTAAAAATGAGTTGATTTGCGGGTTTCTAGGTTCACTCTTAACCTGGGACCCAACCCCCACACATCACTTTTAAAATAATTTTTGCAGCAAAGAGGGTAAAAATATTAAAATATTTTTGCAGCAAAGTAGAGGATATAAATAAGTAAAAGTATGGTTGAGGATTTTTTTTTTTAGAGCCCCAAGCCAGGTAGTTGAGGAGGAACTAGTTTGACTTTGTAGGTTGATGCTCATTGTGCTTGCCTTCGTGGTATAAAAATTAAAAAACAGGTTTCAGCGGGGCGCTCCTGCTATAAAATGCGAGACATAAAACTCAGATACCCTGTATTTGCTCCAGGCTCTAATGATTTTGATCAAAGCAGAGGTTCTGGAAATAAAAATGGGCTGGATAGAGGTACGTCAAAGACAGCCATCACTCAGAAACTTGCTTATTGCTCTCCTCTGTGGAGGACATTGGTCAGCAAATGGCCGTGAGCAGAACTGTAGACTTTCTGGGATACAGTAAATCGATCCTGCTCCATAAACACAACATTTTAAAGGATGAAGACAGGGCCAGCCTTTATTCTACAAGGCTCCAGGCTCATGCCTCATGTGAAATGACTGGTGCTCTCAACAATGGGGACTCCGTGGCTTTCTGGTAAGGAGGGTGCGTGCAGGAGGTAGGCATGGATGTTTGCTATTTCACTCTCACATGGAGGTTTCTCTCTGTACCTCTCCCTTCCTCACTCCTTCTCTCTCACTACAAAATAAATAAAGGAAAAGGAGGATTTTTTTCAAATATATTTTATTAATTTTTTAAAAATATATTATATTAATTTTTTACAGAGAGGAAGGGAGAGGGATCGACCAGCTGCCTCCTGCACACTTCCTACTGGGGATGTGCCCACAACCAATGTACATGCCCTTGACTGGAATCGAACCTGGGACCCCTGAGTCCGAAGGACAACACTTTATCCACTGAGCCAAATCTGTTTCAGCTATTTTATTAATTTTTTCAGAGAGGAAGGGAGAGGGATAGAGAATTAGAAATATCGATTAGCTGCCTCCTGCACACTCCCTACTGGGGATGTGCATGCAACCAAGATACATGCCCTTGACTGAAATTGAACCTTGGACTCTTCAGTCCCCAGGCCAACGCTCTATCCACTGAGCCAAACCAGTTAGAGCAGAAAAGGAGGATTTTTAAGGTCGTTAAGCTTTAAACATGCAATGGACGTTTTCATCCTTTCCTCCTCCTGGCTCTGAAATGACAGGCAGCTGCTGACAAGTGCCTAAAGTCAGGCTACTGGAAAAAAGCTCTCCACTCTCTCTCCTCACATGCCCTCCCTGCAGT